CTCTCTCTCTCTCTCTCTCTCTCTCTCTCTCTCTCTCTCTCTCTCTCTCTCTCTCTCTCTCACTCACACACACACACACACACACACACACTGTCTCTCTGTCTCTCTCTGTCTCTCTCTCTCTAAAATACGGTCCCAAGAAAGTATGGGGTAGGAGGAGATTGCTCTCTGTTCTGTGTTTCCATACCATGGCACCTAGCCCTCAGCACAGTGACCTGAGCCCTCCTAGAAGGACAGTAGTCCTGTTGAATCCAGCACACAAGTGACACCTACACCCACCTGGCTGGCCACCCCCAGCCATGTTCTGGCCTGTGGGAGACCCCTGGTCCCAACCTTGGTTCTGCCAGCTAACACTTACCTTACTCACAGTGAGGATGGCTGCAGAAGCTTCTAGTGGAATACTGAGCCGAGCAGGAGCCGGGGTGCCCTTTATACTGTTCCTCAGCCTGGCCTCTTTCCCAAGGTGAAGGAGATGGACTGGTTTCACCGCTCCTGTTGGTCAACTTCTTCTAGCCCCTTCCTGACTCATCATGGGAACCTTAAGCAAAAAACCCCTCAGGGCCCCTTTTCGCAGGGACACACAGCTCCTGCCTGGCCAGAGGGCTCTGGGGGCTCATTCACTCCTGTGATACTCGCGACCTGGGCACAGGGAGGTGAGGGAGGCATCTCAGGAACCAGGTCCCCTTTTCCTCTTGTTTTGTGACCTCAGCCAAGCTTTTCTTCTGAATCTCAGTTTCTCCACCTATAAAATGGGTTTTTCCTCCTTATTAGGCTGTGGGATTCATTTCCAAGGGCACAGAATAGAAAGTTATATGTCTTTCTGGGATGTCCAGTCTGGAGATGTTGTGTAAAGGTGGGAGGAATCACTTCTCATGAAGGGATGGGGCTGTTGGAGGATTCTCTTGGCCACTAGTCCACAGCCCATCTGCTCTCAAGACACATCTATAACTCCATTCTGTGTGGAAATAAACTCTGTCCTGTGATGGGGTAGGGTTGAGTCTGACAACTTTAGGCCCAAAACATCAAGCAGAAGGCTTTGCAGGGGCTACCATGTGCTAGAGGCTATCCAGGCCCTATGATGAAGGCTGTAGTTACAGAAGTTTCCAAGAACGCCATGCTCACCAAAACTCCAAGGCATGGACCATTCTAAGTCTTTAATATATAAATCTATATATATATTTAAAATAAATATATAGTACATAAAAATTAAATAATAAAGATTGCTTCTTATGGTGATAAAACAAACATTTCATACAATGTTTTGGGGAAATGCATGAAGGTATAAAATCAAAACTAGATCATCCATTACTATCTCTAAACTACTCTCTAAAAATAGCTTAAGCTAGCTTTCAGAGTGGGGATTAGAGCTTGCTTGTCCCTCCCCAGTGCTGATGATGACCTAACACTCCTGGAATACAATCCAAACCACTGCCTCAGGTTCAAAGACCCTCACTGAGGGTCCTCAGTTACTAGGGCAAGCCCAGTGCTCCCCACCTCTGGAGGCTCTCTGTGTCTTTCAGCTTCACTGTAAATGTGGGGACCTGCCAGAGAGCCTCCCTGAGACCCATCTAGAGAGTTATTCCCTGGTTCGCTTCATTTCACTAAGAACAATTGAGGGCCCTTTTATATGCTTTTGTTCACTCATTTATTTTCCATGTCTCCCATTGGAAAATAAGCTCTAAAAGGCAGGAGTTTTGCCTGTTGGGTTTTCCACTATGTCCCCAAAACCTGTCATAACCGTCGAATATAATCAGTGCTCTATAAACATTTGTCGAAGGAATGAAAGAACAGTGCATCTCAAAACCTGGAGAAAATTACCATTGAGCATTTTAGTGTTGTGTGTGTGTGTGTGTGTGTGTGTGTGTGTGTGTGTAAACAAAACTGAACTGTGACTTGCCTTTCTTTTTAATGATTGGTTAATAGCTTATTTTATGAACATCATTTGGACTCCCTTCTTCACAACCTAGAATAATATCAAGGAAAATACTCATTTCTGGGGCTAACTTTGAGATTCATTCTGATTTCCCCATAGTTTTCCTCACAGGCACCTCCCTCCCAGCTCCAAATAGATCTATTTATGGTGCTAATTTTGCCATGCTCCTGGAGCTTAGTCTGGAAAGACAGATGGAGGGACTCCTGCCTCCAGAATACTACCCTCTGCTCATGCCCTCTCTGGTCCCTGAGCCCACCTGGGACCTCACATGTTCTCTGCCTTAGCACAGGGATGGCCATCTTCTGGGGCTGGGAAAGCCCTCTCCACCCTGCCCCCTGCCATCCCCCTCCCCCATGCAGAACCAACCCTGTATCCTCACACATGGGCACCCATGCCCTGTGCTCTGCTGCTGACATCACACAGGAGGAATCTGCCCCTCCCCAGCTCATTACAGTCAGTCCCAGGTAGCCACACTGGTCTTATGGGTTTCCAGGGGCTAGTACCTGCCAGATCTACCTCCCGCCCTCTGATTCATAGCATAATGAGAGCTTTGCAGGGAAGACAGTGTGTGTGAGTCTTTGGCCACTGGGCAAAGCTAGGGTGTGGTGAGCTCCATGTGGTGAAGCATGGAGCTGACATGTGTGTGTGCAGGGGAGGGGTTGGAGGAGCCCCAGCCTTTTAGGGGCTCAGAGGCCCCATGCTCTGCCCTCAGGTTGCCCCATCTGGGGCACAGACAGGCATGTGTACGGGGGAGATCCTCTTGGTGTCTGTGCGAGTGACCCCACAGGCCCACATGAGGAGGCCGGGTAACTGCCCATCCCCCGCCCAGTGTAATGAGGATGAGCTCATATCCCATGACACAGGCAAAGGCCCTGACGCCAGCTCATCCCCAGTTCAAAGAGGCCCCAGCTCTTTCTCTTGCAGAGCTAGAAACTCCCCAAAAGAAACAACCTTCTTGAACTGTTGCTTAGCTGTGGGGGCAGGAGGAATGGGTCACGAATTTCACTTCCTGGGGGATGTGAATGGATGAGGACAACTCTTCGTAAGGGACGGGATGAGGGCAGATGGTCCTGAGAGGCAGACTTGGACCAGGAGGTCTCATGTTCCCACCTTGGCTCACCATGACTAGGCTGTTTCCCGAAGAGGCAATACCTCCATCCTCTGAGGCCACTAACTTCCTCTCCATCCCCTGACGCCTCCTCCTCTGCTCAGCGCACTGTTGCCTACATCATCTAACAATCTGCAGCCCACACTGGCCACCTTCCCACAGGCCCAGAATCCTCACTCTCCTCCTCCATGGCCTCCTGAACCTGACCTCCGTGCCTCACTTGTCTTTTATGCCTGCCTACTGCTCCAAGAAGGGAGAGAAGACCAAGAAAGGGCCAAGAGGCTGATTCTTCCTCTCCGACCTCCTGGGTTGGCCTGTCTGATGTGCCCTGGTTGCCTTCCTTATGTCTTCCTCTGGCTTCCCCTCCTTGGTCTATGAGGTTGCTGGTTCCCAATTTCATTCCCCATCGCTGGCTTTTGTTTGTGAATCTGATCCCTGTGGAGGGACAGTCACAGTTCTGCCCCTGGTGCAAAAAGTGGGGCAAAGCCAGGAAAGTTTATCAGTAGCAGAGAAAAGGAGCTGTTCAGTGTCCTCTCCTCCAACTGGCAGGATGCCCTCCCCTGGGGCTCCCTGGGACATCACATTCTGGGCAACATAGGAGTACTATACAGAGGATTGGCATCACCTGATCCTGGAGAAGAGGTTTTCACCAAGAGGAGTTAATTGCCTTGCTGGAGCCCTGCTCAGCCCCAGTGTGGCCCTTTTCTAACCTCATCTCTTCTTTGTATTTGTGCACTGTTTGACTGTCATTAAGCTGTCTAACTGCTCCAGGCAGCCAGATGGGTCTGTCTGGTGCAGAGCATCAAACAGTGCCTCTTCCTTCTTCCCTAAAATTTGCCTCCCTGCTTACTCTCTGCATCAAACCAAGCCACAATGCAGAGTCAACGCGAGTCTTGGTCTCTGGGGTCCCAATTGGGTCAGTGTGCTGGGG